GTAACAAAAAACTACAAACGGATATGGATAACAGATTTGTTCCTGGATTATTCTCCAGGAACAAATCTCGGTTTGGTTCAAGTCTATGGACACCAAACTTAAAGTCTCATTCCCTTAATCTAGTAGAAATTTTCTAAATTATTTTTCAAATTCTCAAAATATTCATTTGAAATATGTGGGGGATTGTTGAAAAAATTCAGAGTATTTCAAATGAATAAATTATCTCATATTATCTAATAATATTACTTTATAAATCAATATTATAAATCAGATATTTTCGTATAGGATTAAAAAATATTTTTAATGTTCATTGAGTTCTTCCGAATAATAACGTTAAGAACGTTAAATATTCTTTTACTTTGGGAAACGTTATCATTGTTAAAATTCATAGTTTAGTAATGAATTTTTAATCAATGAATGCATTGAAGTCTATATTGTGCTCAACGTTAAACTGTTTTGATCGTATGAATGATCAATATTAAAGTCCATAATGCTCCAACGCAGGGCCGGTCCTGATATTTTATGGGCCCGGGGAGATTGAAAAAAAAGTCCTTAAAAGATTATATAAAGTCCAGTACCACATGATGTTGAAGCTTCGAGATTAGTCACACTGGTCACTTGAAAATTATACCAAGTATTTTCTATTCAACACTATTTATTTAGTTCCCAGGATATTCAAAGTTTGGCAATATACAAACAACCAGTGGCGGACCCACTAAGGGTCCCATGGGGTCCCGGGACCCCGTGGTCTTCGAAAAATTTACCTATATATATTACATATATTTTGAACAATATTAAGTGGTAAATCCGTAAATGTATATATACAACATAAGCGAATAAAAGTTCACATGGCTGCTGTAGAGGAATGGGAGCAAGCACCCGCTTAAAAACCTCCTCATTCATGAGGTACTGGGTTTGAATCTAACACTCACATTCATTTTGTTTTAGTCCATGAAAGTTGCATTTTAGAACGAGTAAAGGGTCAGTTTGGTACTCGAACTTGTAAAAAAGGTGTCAAATAAGTCTTTATATAGAAGATTATGTCCGGACGTGCCATTTGAGGTGGATCCCGGTGGAATTTTTTGATAATATTTTTTAGCATTTTATTCATTAAGTCTAGTTTACTCATACCAAATTTCAGCTAAACATTCAATGGGGAAGACATTCAAATGAATTCTTGAAGATAACTACGCTTTTAACGGCACAATTATCTTCAAGAATTCATTTCAATGTCTTCCCGATTGAATTTTTATCTGAAATTTGATATGAGTAAACTAGACTTAATGAATAAGATGCTAAAAAAATTTCATCAAAAAATTCCACCAGGAGCCACCTCAAATGACACTTCCGGACAAAATCTTCTATATAAGGACTTATTTGACTCCTTTTTTGCAACTTCGAGGACCAAACTGACCCTTATCCCATTTTAGAACACTAAATGATGCCGTTTTGGTCCATTTTTTATTTTTTAAACCCCTACCAACTGCAGCCCACAACAAATCTATTGCCATCATCGTACAAGAACAAACTCCGTCCAGTCCCTCGGACAAACTTGAAGAAATCCTAGTATATGACAGGTGGCCTCGTAAATGGACAGAATGGGATGATCTAAGAATGGAAACAGAACAGGATGACATGCAATGGGATTGGATGCTTATGGAGCTCCTTAGAAGATGTGTTGAAGAGATGATTGGGCTCGACAAAGATGAGATAGAAGGATAAAAATACAAGGAGCCTGAATCTGTCACTAAGCAAAAGACTACTCCGAAACCTCTGGATAGTGTCAGGATCAAGACCCCCTTTCTGGAAGAAATCAGAGAGCGAATTTGGCGCACACCTGAGAAGATCAAGACCTACAGAGAACTCAGGATGCGTGGCATCAATCACCTCAAAGGAAGAGACAGAGGTGGAAACTTGTACATGCTCGGACACAGATCCACGGGAGAACGACGACAGATTTTGAATCATAATCTTGCAACAAGCGGATGTCCAGTGCAAACAATCCTGAAAGTAACAGAAGAATACTTGGAGAAGATCAAATTCATGGTCTTTCATCTACAAAGAACTGATGGATCAACATTCACCTGTCAAGAAAATGATTTCTTTCTGCTGCATATGGATGACGTCTATCAAATGTTTATGAGATGCAGAGAGCTACCAGTCCATAAAGATAGACTTGCAAAGGAAGGTTTTGAAGCCATAAAAAGGTTCATGATGAGACAAATTCGATATCATGGAGGTCATGATCTTCATATGGGTCTGGAAAGAAATTATCCCAAAGTGAATCTTACAAAGCCAGACCTTGACAGACCAGGGATAGAAGACTTCCTAGAAGATCATATCTTTGACAATCCAGTCTCAGTCATCTATCTGAACCATGAAGGAAAGAAGCGCATTTTGTTTGTCAAGGAAATAAACAAATATTGCGACGGAACACTAAAGATCATCAGAAATAGGCTGAAATCAAAAAGAGAAGAACTTGTCAAGAAGTCAACAGAAGCTACAAAGGATGAACTCAAGGAGCTGGAAAGAACAGAAGATATCCTAAAGGCCATCAATACACAACTTGAAAACAGAAATTCACTCAGGAGCTATGAGCATGCTCTTAACCTCAGGAAGAATTATTATAAAGCTCATCAACAGTGAAGAGAAGAAGAAGCAAGACGGCACTTGATCACAAAGGGGGAGATTGTTGAGGAAAATATTTGTTGTGATCAAGTTTGTCTAGAGTCTTGTTATCTCAATTAGATTAGACTTATCCTTTATAGCATTTATGTAAAGAATAAATGAGCTAAGGGAATAGGGCCCAAAAAGGCCTTAGGCCCAAAGTTCTAGGTTACCATTTCGGTACCTGTACCTACGCCTATAAATATGCGTACATGTGGTACAGGACCGAATAATCGAGAATCAGAAACATACAGCGCCTTTCACTCAGAGTTTTCTTTCTATATTTCTCGATAGTATAGCGTAAGGATTTCTTCTGTTCAGATTATTTCTCGATCATTATTAAGAATCCTTCTCTATATTATTGTAGATCTTTCATAGCTGTTCATTGATCCTGAATTTTGGGACCAACAGACCTCCACCACTTTTAATTTTTTTCATTTTTTTTAATTAATTATAATTTTTTATGACTTAATGTAACAAATTTATGTATTTATGAATGTTTTTTTTTTTTTTGAAAAAAGGTATTTCGGTAGTGTACCCAGATTTAAAGAAGTTCGAAGTACTGAGAGTAGTTAAAATATTAATTCCAATGATTCGCCTTTAGTAACTAAAATATCGGATCATGTACTTGTTGAAAGTGAAACCACTTTGACCTATAATCTACATAAACAACACGTTGATTTCATCCTAGTGTTCAAGACGAGGTATGTCGTAGTTACCTTAAAAAAGGGTCGTTTAAACCTCGGGATCATGATTTCCTTTTTAAAGTAATTGCTGCTAAAAACGTAAGTTTGTTTCAAGTTGATTTGATGAGCACAAATGGTTGGAATATAGTATTGTCATAGATGCAACATTTTGAAATGGGTGGGAAGTTGGTGGTCATTATTTTTTGGGAATAGGATTTTCAGCATGGAATAAAAAAGACAGGTTTTATGTACATGTTGAAAACATTAACTATGAAACGTTATGCTTCTTGATATTTTTCTTCAATTTTATATTATTAAGAGTTATATTAATTTAGGGACCCCGTGACTCTAATTTTCTGGGTCCGCCACTGCAAACAACCGTTTCACCAAAATCCATTTTTCTAAATGTATGCAATACTTTCCCTAAACTACTTATTTAAATCGCTGTAAGAGTATACTGTAAACTTTTTAATCTAAAGTACTTGAAAATTATAATCAAAAGTTCCTGGATTCATTTTTAGGGCCGGGGACTGAAAGTTTTAAAAAAGAACTTTATTTATTGCTTAATACACTCACTTTCTAAGTGTGTTTTCACAAAAAACATCTGGCATACTAACTTATTAGTTTTGATGTGTCGTAAAAGGACTATGGGTCATGGGATGTTAAGATTCCGTGTGAATCAGATGTTAATCTATGTTTAAAAAACCGACCCGACCCGGCCGGGTTGACCCGGAACCCGGTGACCCGGACAAAAATCCGGTTCAGTTTTTTCAAAACCCGAAAATGGTCAAAAATCGGAAAACCCCGGCTGACCCGAAAAACCCGATCCGGACCCGGACCCAAGAAACCCGAAAAACCCAGGAAAACCCGGTTTTCGCTCTTTTTCCAAAAAAAAAAAGTAATTTCTTTTTAATTTCAATGCATTTTTAAACCAATAAAATTGCAATTTCAATTCTCTAAAAAGAAAAACTATGTAATATATTTATATATTTATTTAAGAATGTAAAGCATGCCAAATTATAATATAAATGTACAATACTAATAAATATATATATAATGAGTCTATATAATTATATGTTTATTATTATTATATAGACGTATAATAGTTGACCGGTTTTCCGGCTTTGACCGGGTTGACCCTCTGGGTCCGGGTTGACCCGTGACCCAGTCACATGACCGGGTCGCTCACCGGTCCGGTTTTTACAACACAGATGTTAATTTGGACGGAAAAAGGACTATGTAACCGTACTTCGCTCTTATTATTTAAAGGCACTTTTATACACAGCCGTTTATTTGTTATGTACAGCCACTGAAACAACTAAAAAATAAACAAAGTCTATTTTACCCCTAACCCCTAACAAACTTACTTTCTTCCGGACGCAAGAGATTTCACCGACTAACTAAAACAGAGTATGATTTCTCATTTGCTTACAGGCGAACAAAAATTCTTCCTCTTGCAAAACCCGGTTGCTATGTTTCTCGTCCTTAGATGGATGAAATCTATTAGTTATTGGATGATGAAGTAAAATCGGGTCTTGACTTTATCTTGCTTTTTTTTTTTGTGATTTCAGTTAACGAGTTACTTACTTTAACAACAATTTGAAAAGTGAATTGAAAAGTGAATTTTGGATTTTTATGGTATTATTATTAAAAACCGTTAGATTCATAAAAGGATGAAGTTTCTGAAATCTATTAGATTTATACAAAAATAGAAATTCTCTTGTTGTGTGCCTGAATAATAACTTTGCTCTATTGCTACAAATTAAGGCGTCGGCCAATTTACATTGCCGTCTCAATAACTTTGCAAGCACAGGGGATGATCCAAGGACTTTGTAAAGACTCTTCTTTGAGAACTACTACTGATTTTGAAATTTATGATCCAAGGACTAGAACTTGGACAAAGCTCCCAGGAAGCGACAAGCCTTCAATCTATGCCCTTGATTTCCTGTCTCCCTCTGAAGGCTGGAAAAAACGGGAAACCTAGCTACTCAGGTGTTAAAAGGATTCCAGTTACTGAATGGCCACACTGTTTGATCGTGGAGGATGAAATATGTTTGACTGATTATGGTGCATATGATATTCGCGACCCTAGGAGATTTTTCTCTTTATCACAACCAGAACGGGTGGAATATCCAAGTCCATGGTCTTATTTTACAACATTCTCAAAACAGGCAACCCTACTTGGCTATGATTCCGATACCGGAGATTGTGAGTTCTGTGCTGTTGAGCTGGGGCTAAGGTTCGATGAACATTCAGCTTGGCTACAACAATGTGTTTACAGGTTCAATCTGAAGGAGTACAGATCAGAGAAGGAGAAGGAGAAGGTGGGAGGAAAAGCTGCTGAGCTCCACATTCGCATTCACAAGTACCTTTTTTTTTTAAACAACACTCTGAACCGAGCCTTTGTTTCAATGCATTATATCTGAATTCCTTTTAGCTCGAGTTGTTTCATGCCTTTGGTGTAATTCTCTTGCCTTTCATCTGGTTTAATAACACTCCCTGTTATCTAGCAGTTTGGTTACCTTATACTACCTCCGTTCCTAAAAATTCTTCCCGGTTTGAATCGGCACGCTTATTAAGAAAGTGGAATAAAGTGGAAATGTGTGGTTGTAGTTGTGTAAGAAAAAGGTAAAATGAATATGAGCCATACAAATTGTCCAAAAAGGGAAAGTGGGAAGTATTTTCAGGAACGGAGGGAGTAATTTGCTAGTCATGGCCATTGGTAGCATGCAATTGTTTTTTGTCCATCATTGCTAGTTATGTTTGGATGTCTTTTTTTCTTGATTTGGTTATCCAAGTAGTTGTAGATTGTCTTTTTTCATCCAACAAAGAAAGTACTCTTCACCAAAATATGGATGCTCAATTAGCCAAAATCAAGACTTGAAAAAACAAGTAATTGAGGACTTGAGGAGGTTCTAGCAAATAAAAACTTGCACGGCACAAGCAGAGCAACAAAAAAATCACAAAACCGTTTTTGTAGACTTTCCTTAACATGTGTTTCTTCGATTCGCAATGCCTGCAACAGAATAGAGGATATTGTTTTTTTAAACCACTGTTTCACAAAAAAAAAGTCTAAATCATAGTTCCAAAACAAATATAATTATATATTAAAAATATGCAATAAATGGTTTGCGGAAAAATATAATTCATGAGGTGTTTATGGGTTCAAAATCAAACTTCCATCATCATATATCTCGATACAAAAAAATGTTATCCAAAATCTGCCTTTTTTAAAAAATTATTTTAAAAATTATATCCATTGAATTGAAAACGAACTGGGAGTAAAAACACAAAGAATCATACAACCCGCCCATTTTAAGATTAAATAGCTATTTTAATCAGAAGTTGGGTATTTGTTATTTTTCAAAAAATATCATGAATCATAATAGATTGCCCCCATTAAAGTTTTAAGTTGCCCCCAACAATTTACAAAAGAAAATTTATCAGGAAGATTACTATGTGTGTGTCTGGCTAGTTAATATGAATTAATTTAAGGTTGAATTCAACCAAACAATTCAATTTAAATTTTTGTAAGAAAGTGTTATAGATATAACTTAAATGTCATTGGATAATTTTTGTATATAATTTAGTTAATTGTCAAACATACACAAGTTTTGGTTAAATAATCACATGCATTATCTAAATCTGGTTCCATAATATAGTAAATTATGTATAAAAACGGTCGTAAAATTTGAGATCATACGAATAGATTTTTATGTGTCTGTATATACATAAATATTAATTGTCTACTTTTTCTTTTTGTTTATTCATAAAATACTCCCTCCATTCTCTATTAGATGTTCCTATAGGGTTTGACACAAGTTTTAACAGAAAAATAATAGGGGTAACTGGGTAAGTAAAAAGTGTAGTGAGTTGTGTTTAAATGAAAAAATAGGAAAGATGATGAAAAAGTAGGAAAGAAAATGAAAGTAAATGAGTATATTTATTGAAAAAACTTTCTAAAAATGGAAAGGGAGACAACTATTAGAAAACATCCCAAAATGTAAAGATGGACAAGTATTAGAGAACGGAGGGAGTATTTAATAGTATCACATTATTAAGTTTAGATTAATTTGAAATCATACGTAGTATATCAGTTGAAGTTTTCATTTTTCTAATAAGTATGAGTTGAATCGTATTATACATAGTATAAGGTTGAAGGGTATGAGCTGTTGCCTCCAACATATTTTGTACGGATTATCATTACTTATAAGGTTGAACATTTCCCAACCAATCGGTCATACCTTATTATGCCTCCATTCTTAAATAAGTGCAACATGTTGAATTTTACACTATTCACATGTTCTACTTTGATTATGTATAATTAAATAATATATTGATATATTTTCTTGAAAATAATATTGTTAAATTTGTCTCATTGTAAATTTTCAAAATCCATTTTTTTAATTTTTTTATACTAATAAAGAATTATATATATTAATGGTCAAAGTTATGTCTTGACAAGTGTGAAATGTTGACTGTTGCACTTATTTAAGAACGGAGGAAGTATTTGGAAAATGATATTTAAGCATTTCTTTTTTGTATTTTTGTTCATTAAAAATATGGAGATATATATCAGTAGTACGTAGTACTACGTAAGAGTTTAGGATGCACTATCCAACTTCATACACCCATCCTCCCATCCAGACGTTTACTATTCCCTAATGTAACAATTTACAATAAAATCAACATTAAAGGGAATATATAAGGAACTGTAGCAGGGCCGGCCAAAGGGGCAGGTACCCTAGACAAATGTCTAGCCGTCTAGGGCCTCCAAAATTTAGGGTCTAATTTTTAGAATAAGCTTATCGTATTATGTATACATAGTGAAGTTTAATTGTACACAAAGGTTGTATTGATTGGTTTGGATGCTGTGTTGGCAAGGAAAAATATGCGTCCCTTGATGTCGAGGGTTCAATTCTCTAGTGCGTCTTTTTATTTTTTTTGTCAAAAAAAAACTAAACCGCAGAAGTTGACCAGATTCTTTAACTTTTTTCTTTGTTTGATTTGTACTACTTAGTTGGCTATGGGCCTACGGCCCTAGGGCCTAGGGACCAAGGATATACGTAATAAATTCGAGTGTATTGAATAATTGAATTGTAATTTGTAACTTTGATCTATTGAAATTGTGTACTTATAATCTTTTATATGTGATTAAATTTAGTGAATTGAATATATATTATATATTGTGTATATATGTATATTATATTCCATTTATTATTTTTTGAATGAAATTTTATGTTTTGTGATGAATGGGAAACGAAATTTTATTTTTTGAATTAAACTTATCTCTTAATTACATCAACCTTGGTCTCAACAAATACTAGAAAAGGATTTGATCATGAAACCACTTTCCGGCTTTATGGATCAGTATGATGTATGTAAGCACAAAACTTTCTCCCTCTATCTTTTGTTTTCAAAGAATATCCTCATTATGTTAATAGTATATGATGTACTACCTCCGTCGTCCAACTAACATTAAGATAAGAGGAGATGACACTATTAGTAGGGCTGGGTCCGAAAAACCAAAAACCGAAAACCGAATCAAATTAAACCGAACCGCAACCAAATAAAACCGAACCGCTAAGAAACCGAAACCGAATGTAAAAAACCGAACCGAACCGAAGTTGTTCGGTTCGGTTTTGGTTTTTACCTTTCAAAACCGAACCGAACCGAACAAACCGAACTATTTATAATATGAAATTTATATGTTAATTGTTAAGCATTAATTCTAATTAATCTTAATATCATCAATAGTCTTTGGTTTTCTTGTGTTAGAGAAATAATGTTTGTGTAATGTTTAATTTAATTTACTTTATAAATTCATTTACACATTCATTGTCTGTAATAATAGTTATATTGAATTATGATCATATGTGCTTACTAGTTATTAGTAGTAATTAACTTTTATTTTTAGATAACTTAAAGATTTTATATTGATAAAACAATATATATTAATCTCAACTATGTCACATAGAACATATATATTCATGAAAAATTTTCATACTACTCACAAACAAATTAAATCAATAATATATACAGTTTTATCTATCTCGCATACTCATATAATTCAAGACATATTTATCTCTTCTAATTTTTATTTTGTTTGTCTTTGTATTGTGCTTGAATTCTTTATGTAATATGTTTGATCCCTCCAAGTATTATATCAATTTTAAATCAAGTGAAAAAAATTTGGTAAAAAAACCGAAAAAAAACCGAAACCGAACCGAAACAAACCGAACCAATCAAACCGTGGTTCCAAGTTTTGGAGTGTAAAACCGAACCGAAATCGAACCGAACTATTTACTTTGATTCTACATTTGGTTTTAGGTCAAAACCGAACCGCAAGAACCTAACCCACCCCTAACTATTAGTACAAAAATGATTTAGAAACACACACATTTTATCAAATTTGACATGAGACAATCTTATTAAGATGGACCGAAAAGGAAAGATGAGACAATCTTTTATATGTAATTTACTTCTATTTAATTAATATTTTTTGTATCATCATTGTGTTAAATAATACATATCTAAACAAAATTTCTATATGATCGTCTAGGGCCCCATAATTGCTCTAGCCGGCCCTTATTGTAGGCTCTGAATTGAAGTCAAAATCCAGCATCGGCCATCGTCGGTGGCGTTCAATCCTTCACCAGTTCAGCAATCAGCAGAGTAAGGGTTAGTTTGCAACTGCTTTTAAAAAAGCATTTCTCAGCTTTTGGTTTTAAAAAAGCACTTATTTTCCCAAACACTACAACTTTTATTTTTCTCGGCTTTCGCGTCAAAAGTGATTTTACTTTTTCTATTACACAAAAAACACTTATTTTACCAAACACTACCCACTTTTACTTTTCAAAATCACTTTTTTCTCAAACACTATCAACTTTTATTTAATCACTTCTCCTCATTTCATTTAAAAAACACTTTTTTAAAAGCAGAAGCTGTTGCAAACAGACCCTAAAAATCCCATCTTCCATATTTCTTCTAATTAATATTTCGAATCGTGCTTCCCAATATCCCAAACTGATTTTTCCAATAAGAGGCACGAAAATTACCAAGGTGGACCGTGGACGTACGATTTAACTTTTATTTAATTGTTGTAATTATTTCCATTTCCATGTTTTCATATACCGATTATTCTTATGAGTTTTTATATTATATGCTTACAATTTATTATTTATTACTCCGTATCTTATACTCCGTAAAATATTAATGTTATTCAGGAATTTACTAATATGTAGTTTTCACGGGAAACGTAAGCAAGACTCTTTGGCTTCTTAGAGAAACTCTAAGAAAAGGGAATGCAGTTGTACAATTTTTTTGTGGGTTCTATTGTTCGGTATGTAACAAAACCTTCTACTTTGGCTTCAAATAATTAAGAATTTAGAGACAGAGAATAAATATGAATATGAAAATATTGATGTTGAAAATTAAAACAATAATGACAATTTAGGCGGTGGTAA